AGATGTAGGGTACAATTCAGGGTTAGGTATACAAATGTTCATTATGCAGGTACCCTTGTTGATGAGGTGTGTCCCTCCCTCTTCTGGCAGTTGCCCTCAATGCCAATCCCCCCCCCCGAAAATGATATTTTAAGTTAGTGGCTAACTATTATGAACGTAACTTAGATCCCCATCTCATACTTTACAATAAAATTAATTCCAGATTAATCTTTCATTTATTTTATATTTTATTTTATTTATTTGAGTCAGAGTCTCACTCTGTCGCTCAGGCTAGAGTACAGTGGCACGCTCACAGCCTCCACAGCCTTGACCTACTGGGCTCTCGCAATCCTTCTGCCTCAGCCCTCCAAGAAGCTGGAACTACAGATCCACACCACCACGCCCAGCTAACCATATTAATATCTTAATTTAAAACATAGGCCAGGCTGGTCATCATGGCTCCCGCCTATTATCTCAGCACTCTGGGAAGCCAAGGTGAGAGGATTGCCTGAACCCACGGGTTTGAGACCAGCCTGGGCAACTTGGCAAGACCTTATCTCTACAATAAATAAATAATTAGCTGAGTGTGGTGGCACACACTTGTGCTTCCAGTTACTTGGAAGGCTGAGGTGGAAGGATTGCCTGAGCCCAGCAGGTCGGGGCTCTGATGACCTTGAGCGCGCCACTGCACTGCCCCCTGTGTGACAGAGTGACTTCCGACTCAATAAATAAATAAATAAAGTTCTAGGAGAAAATAGAGGTAATTTTTTTTTAAGTTTTCAAGAAAAATTTATTTAGAAAGTAAATCAGAGCGAGAGAAAGAGAGAGAGGTTGATTCACCTCCCCAAAGTAGGGGAGGTAGCCAAAGCTTAGGAAACATGGCAGTATTGCTTCTCGGCCTTTTGGTTAAGATCAAGTGTAGGAAACATGGCAGTCATAGCTCAAAGAGCCACATGGAGATGCCAGACTTTAACAAAGCAATGGCTGTAAATGTTTTCTAAGTAAGTCCCTGGTTTCCCAAGGGTAGAAACCATAAAAGATTTCATCAAATAAAACATTTCATCAAATAAAATATTTAAACACTCTGTATATCAAAGAACATTATAAACAGAGTTAAAAGACAAAATATATGACTAACAGTGTTAATATCCTGACTATTATAAGCTAATACAAAAATAGTAAGTAACTCAAAAAAATGGGCTAAGGACATCTATGCCTTAGAGAGAAGAAATGTAAATACCATCTTATTGCAAGTTAAATTCACATATCTAGATTATGATCCACCTCTTCCAGTACTTTGTGTTCTTTTTTGACTCAATAATCTAATCTTCTGTCCTAGCTGTACCTGGACAATATGTGTTTAAATTAGGTAGGGAGATACCCTCTCTTTTTTTTTCCCCCAAAAAATGTTCTTCCCTGTCTATGCCTGTTTACACTTCCAAATAATCATTTTTTCACGTTTTAAAAACTAACCTTCTTGGGATTTCGGTTGAAATTATATTAAACCTAAAACTTAAATGGGGGTAGAATTGACATCATTACACTATCCAACATTCCTATCCAGGACACAATATTTTTTGTTGTTGTTGAGTTGGAGTCTCACTCCGTCACCCAGACTGGAGTCCCGGCCACTGCAGCCTCGACCTGCTGGGCTCCGGCGATCCTTCCGCCTCAGCCTTCCAAGTAGCTGGAACTACAGGCGCGCGCTACCACGCCTGGCTAATTTTTGATTTATTGTAGAGATGAGGTCTTGCCAAGTTGCCCAGGCGGGTCTCGAACCCGCAGGCTCAGGCAGTCCACTCACCTCAGCCTCCCAAAGTGCTGGGATTACAGGCTGAGCCACCGAGCCCGGCTTTTAATTTTTTAAATAAGGCTCCTAGAAAGTCTTCAGTGAAGCTACGGGGGTGAGAGAGGCACACTCCTGCAATCCCAGCAACACAGGAGGCTGAGATAGGAGGATCGCTTGAGCCCAGGATCACAGCATTGCACGCCAGCCTGGACAATACAGTGAGCCTGCGACAAAAAGAAAAAAGGAAGTGGGGGTGGGAGAGAAAAGGGAAAGAAAAGAAAAAGTTTTCAGTCACACCTGTGGCTCACATTTGTGGCCACTTTATGTTTCTGTTGGGGGACACTGATTTAGAGCACCCAGCGCAGTGACTCACATGCAAGAGGTACTCCCAAATTGTTGGTTGGCCCAACCCGAACACAGACTTGTTTCCCTGCCCCTCCCTCAGGAGGCAGCCTCCAGCCAAGACTGATTTCTGAAGGGTATACATAGTCCCAGTAAGGAGTCCTGGGATGCAGGTAACCAACCTGAAAACAATGTCATTGCCGGCAGGGCGAGATGGCTCAAGCCAGTAATCCCAGCACTGTGGGAGGCTGAGTCGAGTGGATTGCCTGAGCCCGCAGGTTCAAGACCCGCCCGGGAAACTTGGTGAGACCTCGTCCCTACAATAAATCAAAAATTAGCTGGGCGTGGTAGCGCACACCTGCAGTTCTGGCTACTTGGAAGGCTGAGGTAGAAGGATCGCTAGAGTCCTGCAGGTCAATACTGGGGTCGCCGTGAGTGTGCCACTGCGCTCCGGCCTTGGCAACTGAGTGAGACTGCGACTCAAAAAAAAAAAAAAAGTGTCGTCACCAAGCTCAAATTGTAAACGCCAGATAGGAATTTGAATGATTTACTCGACTGCTCTGGTTATAAAACTGCTTGTTGTACTGCCCTAAGATATGGATTCTTCACTGAACTGCAGCCATCGGTGCCTTCCGGGTTTTAATAAGCCAACTATTTCCCTGCAAGACCTCCAGGTGACGTCTTTGGAATAGGTAAACATTACCTAGTCCAAGTACCCCTCTCAGATTTGGGGTTACTGCTGCTACAGAAATGAATGGAAAAAAAAACCCATTCCATCTAAGCAGTTTCCACTCTATTGTGCCCTTTTTTCTCGGTTTGTGGGGAGCAGGGGACTACTAATTTGCATCCTCACTAGATGGGTCCCAAATTCAAAAACAGGCCGGGCTCGGTGGCTCAGCCTGTAATCTCGCGCCTTGGGAGGCCGAGGTGAGTGGATTGCCTGAGCCCGCAGGTTCGAGACCCGCCTGGCCAACTTGGTGAGCCCTTATCTCTGCAATAAATCAAAAATTAGCCGGGCATGGTAGCACACGCCTGTAATTCCAGCTACTCGGAAGGCTGAGGCGGAAGGATCGCCGGAACCCAGCAGGTCGAGGCTGCAGTGGCCGGGAGTGGCCACTGCACTCCAGTCTGGGCAACTTAGTGAGACTCCAACTCGAAAAAAAAGAAAAAAAAAAAAAATTCAAAAACAGAAATTAAGAAACTCATCTGAATGTGAAATAAACACTACCTCCAAGTGCAGACTTTTGACTTTGTAAAATGAAAGACATAACTTAGAAAGAGGAAGAGAAAGAGAGAAAGGGAATGAAAGTGCAAGAGATTTGAATTTTTTAAAAAGGGACTTTTAGAAACCGGTCAAGCAGCTAACCTAATCTTAATTTAAAACTTTACCATTAAATGGTAAAATAAATCTTTGTTTCAAAACCAAAATTTGAAGGCTAAAAATAAAAGCTGTTTTCTACGACAGAAAACCAAAGGAATTAAGAGTATAAGCATTGCAATAGGCAAACAAAAATGTCTGTGGATTCTTGTGACCAAACTAATAGCAAATAAGCAGTTTTCGAAACTTGCCTCTTACTGGCACACAGGGTAGGTAGAAAGAGGGTAGAGGGGAGGGCCTTCCCAGCAGCTGGCTGTTTTCTCCCTCTCTCTGCCTCTTCCCTTCTCTTTCTTGCTCTCCTTCCCTCAGATTTCTTATATTCCTCTTATTTATTTATTTGAGTTGGAGTCTCACTCTGTCACCCAGGTTGGAGTGCAATGGCATGCTCATGGTCACTGCAGCCCCGACCTGCTGGATGGGACTACAGGTGTGTGCCACCATGCCTGGCTAAATTTTTTTTTATTTTTTTGTAGATACACAGTCTCGCTATGTTGCCGAGGCCGGTCTTGAAATCCTGGGCTCAAGCAATCTTCCTGCCTTGGCCTCCTGAATTACAGGCATGAGCCACTGCACCCAGCCACAAGGCAGTGTTTTGAGAGCTTTACCTGTTTCTAAATTCCTGGTTGTGTGATCTTTTTGTTGTTGTTGTTGTTTGAGTTGGAGTCTCACTCTTGTCACCCAGGCTGGAGTGCAGTGGCACACTCACAGCTACTGCAGCCTCGACCCTACTGGTCTCAGGCGATCCTTCTGCCTCCGCCTTCCAAGTAGCTGGAACTACAGACACACACCACCACACCCGGCTAGTGGTTTATTGTAGAGACGAGGTCTCATCAAGTTGCCCAGGCTGGTCTCGAACCCCCAGGCTCAGGTAGTTCTCTCCACTCGGCCTCCCAAAATGCTGGGATTACAGGCTGAGCCACAGCGCCCAGCCCCTGGTTGTGTTTTTTTTTGAATGAAGGTTTTCTTAATTTTGGCTGGTTGTGGTAGCTCACACCCATAATTCCAGCACTTTGGGTTGCTGAGGTGAGAGGATCACTTGAGGTGAGGACTCCAAGACCAGCCTGAGTAACATAACTAGACCATGTCTCCATCAAAAAAAAAAAAAAGAAGAAGAAAAAGAAAGAAAAAAATTAGTTAAGCATGATAGTGGTCCCAGATATTTGGGACGCTGAGGTGGGAGGATCCCTTAAGCCTAGACATAAATCAGTGAGCTATGATCGTACCACTGCACTCCAGCCTGGGCAATGGAGCAAAACCTTGTCTCTAAAAAAAAATTTTTCAGCATTACAAAATGAATTCATTCATTCTTTTACTAGCCCATTAAAAAATAAGTTGCTTTTCCACAGTGTCCCTGTTTTTTTTTTGTTTGTTTGTTAGTTTTTCTTCTTGTTTTTGTCTCTGAGAATTTAGAGTCTCTCAGAAAAACAAGTGTCTTGCCTTCTGCTTTATTACTTGAAGAGGAATTACTAAGACCAGGAAATCCCATTTTCTTACCAGGGATGTTACTTACAGGCGTCTTTAATGTTACAGAAAGGATGCAAAAAAGGAAATGTGCTCTCTGCCCCAGCGGTGTTGATTATGATGTTCTGTACTTTGCACAATCAGAGAATATAGCTGCTCATGAAAATTGTTTGGTAAGTGACTTGAAAACATTCTTAAAAGTACATGAGATAAAAGGGGGGGAAGGAAAGTACATGAGTACTTTTGAGGTAGATAAATGATATTCTGGGTACAAAGAATAACAAATTGACTATGACTGAGCCTTTAAGTGAGGATTGGGGAGTATATTTTTCTAATCTTGAACTGTTTCAGATCTTTTCACTCTTGATTGATTACTTTTAATTTTATTTATAACTGGTCAAACACACAAAGAAAAATAATTATGATGAAGAAGCCTCCTAATAGATATTTTAATGAAATATTTCAAATATAACAGATACCCACAGGTATAATTTCTTTTTTTTTTTTTGAGTTGGAGTCTCACTCTGTTGCCCAGGCTGGAGTGCAGTGCATGCTCACAGCCACCGCAACCTCGACCTGCTGGGCTCCGGCGATTTCCCCCTCAACCTTCCAAGTAGCTGGAATTACAAGCACATACCACCATGCCTGGCTAACTTTTTTATTTATTGTAGAGATGAGGTCTTGCCAAGTTGCCCAGGCTGGTCTTGAAACCGTGGGCTCAGGCAATCCTCTTACCTCAGCCTCCCAAAGTGCTGGGATTATAGGCATGAGCCACTGTGCCCGGCCTATCCAGGTATAATTTCTGCCAAACTCTACAGATTTTTTAGATTTATCCATGTTGGTAATCCTAACTCTTTTTTGTAGTATTCGATGTATGACCATGAATGAGCATTTCGTTTCTCCAGTTTTGTTTTCTATGACTAACAAGTTGTCATGTACATTCTTGTCTAGGTCTCCTTTACATGTGAGCATTTCTCTGGTCTGTGCCATGTAGCTAAGAGTGGAATTATGAAGCCGGGCTCGGTGGCTCAGCCTGTAATCCCACGCCTTTGGAGGCTGAGGGGAGTGGATTGCCTGAGCCCATGGGTTCGAGACCCGCCTGGGCAGCGAGACCTCATCTCTACAACAAATCAAAAAATCAGCTGGGCGTGGTAGCGCATGCCTGTAATTCCGGCTACTCGGAAGGCTGAGGCGGAAGGATCACTGGAGCCCAGCAGGTCGAGGCTGCGGTGGCCGGGAGTGGCCAGTGCACTCCAGTCTGGGCGACAGAGTGAGACTCCAACTCAAAAAAAAAATAGAGTAGAATTATGGGACCACAGGGAGAGAGGATGTTTTGTACCTTCACTAAATTTGCCAACTTTGAATTTGTCTTCAAAGAGATTGTACCAACATTGACTTTCACCATTGTTTTGGAGTATGTTTCTCTCCATCCTAGCCAACACTTGATATTATGAGATTTTCATTTTTTTCCACTGATAGGTATGATGTAGAATCTCTTTTTTTTTTTCACTGAGACCAGTCATCACATATTTTTATTTCTATCCTACAACTGCATTGCTGATTTATTACAGTGACTTGTCCAAGGTATCACAGCAAGATAGATATAGAATGATCTCTAACCATTCAGCTCTAATTCCTGTACATTCTCTTTATACCACCTAGTTTTCAAGGTCTCCTTATACCACCTAATTTTCAAGGTCTTTTAAAATAGCATTCAGAAGCCGGGCTCGGTGGCTCAGCCTGTAATCCCGCGCCTTTGGGAGGCTGAAGTGAGTGGATTGCCTGAGCCCGCAGGTTCGAGACCCGCCTGGGCAGCGAGACCTCATCTCTACAACAAATCAAAAAATCAGCCTGGCGTGGTAGCGCATGCCTGTAATTCTGGCTACTTGGAAGGCTGTGGCGGAAGGATCGCCGGAGCCCAGCAGGTCAAGGCTGCGGTGGCCAGGAGTGGCCACTGCACTCCAGTCTGGGCGACAGAGTGAGACTCCAACTCAAAAAAGTAAAATAAAATAAATAAAATAAAATAGCATTCAGTAACATGAGCACACAGGTGGTTCGTAGTTGGCACTCCTTCTGACCCCACCATCTTTTCCATTAATCCCTATGTCCTAAAGGAAGGGGCTCTGTCTTCTTTCTCCTGAGGAGGTAGTATAGGCTTGTGGCTAAGTATAAGGTTCAGCATAGAATCTCATTTTCATTTGTGTTTCCTTGATTATTGGTGGGATTGCATAGCATTTGATGTGCTTTTGCGTTGTCTGGTTTCCACTTCTGAATTGTGTGTTCACAAGCTTTACACTTTGTTTTTGAGTTTGGTTTTGCTTGTCTATATTTATTTATGTAGAAATTTACCCTACTGATTTCTTGTATATGTTAGTTTTTAATTTTACTTACGTTACTTTCAGATATAAGGTCATAATGTAGTTAAATTCACTATTATTTTCATTTTTAGTTTGTGGAACTTTTTCTCCTAAGAAGTCTTTTCTGTATTGAGTCTATTTTTTTCCCAAAAGTTTTTACAGTTTGATTTGTTCATTTAGTTTCTTAATCCAATTGCAATTTTACTGTTGTGTAAAGTGGATATAATTTTATTTTTCCACGTGGTTAACAACTTTTCCCAGCACTATTTATGGAATAATTTATCCTTTTCTTTGAGTTTGTAGTAATAATTCCTGAGGATAACACAGTAATAATAAGGATAATTATTATTATTTGGTGTTCACTCTGTGCAAGATAATGTTCTGGGAGCTTTACTTAAACTATTTTTTTTTTTTGAGTTGGAGTCTCACTCTGTCACCCAGACTGGAGTGCAGTGGCTGCTCCCGGCCACTGTAGCCTCGACCTGCTGGGCTCCGGCGGTCCTTCTGCCCCAGCCTTCCAAGTAGCTGGAACTCCAGGCACGTGCTACCTTGCCCGGCTAATTATTTATTTATTTATTGTAGAGATGAGGTCTCGCCAAGTTGCCCAGGTGGGTCTCGAACCTGCGGGCTCAGGCAATCCACTCACCTCAGCCTCCCAAAGCACGGGATTACAGCCTGAGCCACTGAGCCCGGTTTATTTACTTAAACTATTAATCCTCACAGCAACCCTAAGAGGTACTGTGACTATTCCCAAACTGAAGATGAAACAACCAAGGCACAGAGCGATTAAGTCACTTTCCCAAGGTCCAATGGCTAGTAAGTGACTGAGCCAGCATTCTCACCCAGGCAGTCTAGTTCTATGAGAGTGCTAACAATAGCAAATGTCATACTTGTGTGTGCATGATCTGTTTCTACTTTTCTGTCTCTGACCTGGTACAACATTTTCTTAATTATAGTCAGTCCTTTCTAGCCACAGGTCTCCATTCAGGGATTCAACCAACCTCAGATCGAAAATATTCAAGAAAAAGCCACAATAAAATACAACAAAAATTAATACAAATAAAATAATTAATTTGCATAAAACAATACAATTTGCGTAAAACCAAATGCACCCATTTTAAGTGTCCAGATTGGAAAGTTTTGAGACATGTAACCATGAAACCCGTGTAACCACTACCACGATCAAGATACAGAACATTTTCATTACCCCAAAGGGTTTCCTCATGCCTCTGTGTAATCAATTCCTCCCTACCCCAAGTCCCTATAGATTCGTCTTATCTTTTCTCAAAGTCTATATGAAAGGAATCCTACAGTATATACTCTTTTGTGTCTGGCTTCCTCTGCTTAGCAGTGTTTTAGAAAACCATCCATTTTGCCTGTATCTGTATTTTGTTCCTTTCTATTTCTTCATGTATTCAGTTGTAAAAATATATCACAATTTGTTTACAACAAATTGTTATCACATTTGCTGTTAATAGACATATGTGTTATTTCCAGTTTGGGGCTATCATGATAAGAATCTGCTCTGAGAATCTGTATATGAGTCTTTTTTTAGACATATGCTTTTTTTTTTTTTTCTTTTTTGAGTTGGAGTCTCACTCTGTCGCCCAGACTGGAGTGCAGTGGCTGCTCCCGGCCACCGCAGCCTCGACCTGCTGGGCTCTGGCAATCCTTCCGCCTCAGCCTTCCAAGTAGCTGGAACTACAGGCGCGCGCTATCACACGCGGCTAATTTTTTTATTTATTGTAGAGATGAGGTCTCACCAAGTTGCCCAGGCGGGTCTCGAACCCGTGGGCTCAGGCAATCCACTCACCTCAGCCTCCCGAGGCATGGGATTACAGGTTGAGCCACTGAGCCTGGCTGACATATGCTTTTATTTCTCTTGAGTGACTACCTAGAAGTATTGCTGGGTCATTAAGTAAGTGCATGCTTAACTGGAAAAGTGATTGCATTACTTTACACATCTACCAATAATGTATAAGAGTTTAATTTGCTCAACATCTTCATCAACACTTGGTATTTTCAGGCATGTTATTTTTAGCCAGTCTAGGGGATACATATTGGTATCTCATTGTGGTTTTAATTTTCCTAAGTGTTAATAATATTGAGCATCTTTTCACATGCTTATTTGCCACTCATAAATCTTTTTTTTTTTTTTTTTTTTTTGAGTTGGAGTCTCACTCTGTTGCCCAGGCTGGAGTACAGTGGCACCCTCGCAGCCACCACAGCCTTGACCTCCTGGGCTCAGGCAATCCTTCCATCTCAGCCTTCCAAATAGCTGAAACCACAGGAACACACTACCACATCTGGCTAATTTTTTGATTTATTGTAGAGATGAGGTCTTGCCAAGTTGCCCAGGCTGGTATGAAACCCCTGGGCTCAGGCAATCCTCTTGCCTCCGCCTCCCAAAGTGCTGAGATTACAGGCATGAGCCACTGCACCCAGCTGCCACTCATAAATTTTTTATGAACTGTCTGTTCAAATTTTTTGCTCACTTTTAATTGAATTGTGTTATTTATGTATTTATTATTTATTTATTTATTTGAGTCAGAGTCTCACTGTGTTACCCAGGTTGAAGTGCAATGACACTCTCTAAGTCACTGCAGCCTCTACCTAATGGGTTCAGGTGATCCTTCCACCTCAGCCTTCCAAGTAGCTGGAACTACAGTGATGCAACCACGCCCAGCTAATTTTTTTGCTTTATCGCAAAGATGAGGTCTTGCCATATTGCCCAGGCTGGTCTCGAACCTGCGGGCTCAGACAATCCTCTCGCCTCCGCCTCCCAAAGTGCTGGGATTACAGCCATGAGTCACCGTGCCTGGCTTACAAAAATTTTTTTAAATGAGCCCAGTGTGGTGTCATATATACCTGTAGTCCTAGCTACTCGGTTGACTGAGACAGAAGGATCTCCTGAACTGAGAAGGTCAAGGCTGCAGTGAGCCATAATCGTGCTACTTTCATTTGGGATCTTACTCCAGCCTGGGTGACAGAGTAAGATCCCAACTCAAACAAAAGAAAGAATTGAAGGAAGAAAAGGGAAGGAAAAGAAGGAAAGGAAGGAAAGAAAAGCAAGAAATCTTTGCCGATCCCAATGTCACAAAAATGTTCTCTTTTGTTGGTTTTAAGTGGCACATGGAAACTTGAGCAGGCCTAAACATAAAAAGGGGGTTTGTATTAAAGTTGTGGGGCATTTCAGGTTCCTAAAGACTGGCATGCAAATAGGTCTAAGAAATGAGCTAGAGAGCATCAGAGACCCAGCACGTGCTCTCTCTAGCCCTCATGTTTTGAATTTCTTTTTTTTTTTTTTTTTTTTTTTTTTTTTTTTTTTTTTTTTTTTTTTTTTTTTT